GGGCCATCCAGCCGAAACGCGCTGAGGTTCTCGGGCCGGGAGCGGCGGCTCCTGCTCCGGGCCACTTCCTACCTGGACCCCCGGGCTTCCTTCCCCTGGACTTGCCCAGCTGGCTGCAATCTCCAGGCCGGCGTCCTCTCGGCAGGCAGTCTCTGGGTTGCACCAATTCGCCTCCGCCTTCCTTCCGGCCTCTCCTGGAGTCCCTGGCAACCGCTGAGGGGGAGCTCCTTTCTCCAGTCCTTCTCCTTCAGCTGCCTCCCCTGACTGAGTCCTGGCCCAGGCTTTTATAGCCCTGCTGCAGCCTGGGCATGCTCGGTAGGGCTGTGGGGGAGGGGCCTCTGCAGCCAGGTAACCCTGGCTGTGCCCTGTAGGTTCAGTGCGGGGCTGCCTTGCCCCGTCACACCTACCATCTGTTTTACTGCTGCCCACTGAGTTCTGAATAGCTGCAGTGAGGCCGAAAAGGCTTAGTTCTCTTTGTGCTGCAGTTTGCAAAGCTTTATGCAGTAGCAGAGGCACTTGAATCATTTGCAGACAAGACAGCACTGGTTCATGTTGGGAGGATAACTTTAAACAATAAGAGCTAAAACACATTTTAAGATAATAGATACAGATGCAGCAGCTGATAGCAGTTGCCTGGCAAAGCTTTCTGCTGTTCTTGGGCAAGTGGATTTTCAGGGTGTGGGAAAGGGAATTTTGCATGAAAAAGGAAGGGGGTGGGAGGAAAAATAGGATTTCTGAATATTAATTGACATGCACAATTGAAGAGTATTATTAAGCTCTATCAGATTTTGCTAGCTGTTTGCATATGGCAACTGCTAACTTTTCTCCTCGTAGGATGAATCAAAAGAAATAAAATGAGGGTCACACCTAAAATTATATATTTGATAGGTACGTTGCCTTTGAAAGTATCTCTTGCCATGTTTAAGCAACTAAATATGTTAGTTAAAATTAATTGTAGACTTTGTCTGGTGAGGTAGACAACCCCTCACCAATATATAAGAACAAAAGTAACATCTTTTTTCCTAACACGTCGTTATTATTAGCTCCCATTGTCAGAAAACACCAGAGGTGAAAATAGGCTGCTGCTCCCTGGTGTGGTGCTCTGGCAAGAAGCGGATGGCTGGGGCACTAAGCTGCAGGGGGAGAGTGCTCTCTCTCTGGCTCCCAGGGCTTCC